TAACAGTTGCCTGTTCAGCCTGTAATATTTTGTTCTATTTAATATACTATTTAAAAAAAATCTTCTATGAATGTTAAAATAGTTTTGAGTTAAAACAGAAATGTTTAACTATATTATTATTTAAAATCGAGTTGCTTTTAAGTTTGAAAAAGCTTCTTTGCTTGGATTATTAATGCTTATAGAATACCATATTTGGGAACTAATGTTAAGTGTAGCCAAGTACTAAATCCTAAGCCATGTATTAAATGTTTTAAAGTCATTAGTAGAAGGGCTAATTTGGAATTTGGTAATTATTTTTAAAGGGCATAGAGAGTGTTAACAATGATACTCCATTTTTGTGTCTGGCATTCTATTCAGTTTTCAGTGTGTGTGTTTGGAAGGGGTGTGCAAAAGTATCAGCGGGGCATGTAATAAAAGAAAACTCAGTTCTTTTAGATATGTGCAAAATATAACTTGAAGTACAGATAAATTTTAAAATATTATAATCATAAAACATAAGCAATATAAACTTTGTCTGCAGTAATGTACTGGCATATACATCAGAGTGAAGTTGGAAAAGTAGAGTTTTAGATCTCATACTCTTCAGTCTCTATCATCTGTGTTCTTTATTTGACAATAAATTTGGTATTGCAGTTACACTTTTTGGACACAAGATGGTGATGCTCACTCGAAATGTTTCCTGAGTGTAAGATCTACTGCTTTTATTTTATTTTTTTAGTCATCAGTTACCTTTTTACTTATTTATTCATTCATTTATTTAAGTATAATTGATTTACAATATTATATTACTTTCAGATGTAGAGTATAGTGATTCAGTATTTTTTACAATTTATACTCCATTAAAAGTTACAAGATAAGGGTTATAATTTCCTGTGCTATACAGTATATTTTTTGTTGCTAATCTATTTTATACATAATAATTTGTATCTCTTAATCCAGTACTTCTGATGTGCCCCTCTTTCCCTCTCCCCAAACTACTAGTTTGTTTTCTCTATCTGTGAGCCTGTTTCTGTTCTGCTATATAAATTCTTTTAACATTTTTTAGATTCCACATATAAGTCATATCACACAGTATTTGTCTTTCTGACTTATTTCAGTATATATAAGCAACTCATACAACTCAGTATCAAAAAAAGCAAATAACTTGATCAAAAAATGGGCAAAAGACCAGAACAGACCTTTTTTCAAAGAAGACATACAGATGGCCAACAGGCGCATAAAAAGATGCTCAACATCACTAATTATTAGAGAAATGCAAGTCAGAACCACAATGAGATATCACCTCACACCTGTCAGAATGGCTATCATCAAAAAGTTTACAAATAACAAATGTTGGCGATGATGTGGAGAAAAGGGAACCCTTGTACACTGTTGGTGGTAAATTGGTGCAGCCACTATGGAAAACAGTATGGAGATGCCTCAAAAAACTGAAAATAGAACTACCGTATGATCCATCAATCCAATTCCTGGGTATATATTCTGAAAAGATGAAAACTCAATTCAAAAAGATACATGCACCCCTATATTCATAGTAACAGTATTTACAGTAGTCAAGACATGGAAGCAATCCAGGTGTCCATCAACAGATAAATGGATAAAGAAGGTGTGGTATGTTTATATATACAATGGAATATTACTCAGAATCTACTACTTTTAGAAGCTTCCCCTCCTGAAACCAATGGATGAACAGCTGGCTTTGCTTTTAAAAATAGTAGTTGAAATTTTTGTGTGTGTTGTGTCCTGCTGCATAACTTATTTAACAAATAACAATTTAAGTGTAGGTTTATGTAATTTGGGCTAGGGGAGGTGGGCACATTAAGAAAAGGGAAATTTTTAACAGTAGAGAGAGAACTAGCAGTCATTAGGTGTATACTATCCATCAGGCATTTGCTGGGTGATTTATATATGATATCTAATTGATTCTAGTCAAAGCACTCTATTAGCTCAGTAAATTGTGCATAATTAGTAATGTGTGTATTCTTTCATAAAAACCATGGATACCATCAATTTAGTATCTTTAGACAGTTTTAAGCAAGGTTGTCACTCTGTTTTGTTTTTTTTTTTAAATAGTTTCTTATATAGTTAAACATATACTTATCATACTATATGGCAGTCCGTCTCCTAGGTATTTATCCAAGAGAAATTAAAACATTTGTCCACACAAAGATCTGTAAGTAAATGTTTAAATTTTAAAATTATGAAAATGTACTTTTCCTTTTTTCCTTAGTTTATTTTAATGCTAGATTACACTCTTGTCTCCTGGAAGGAGCAGTGCAGTTGAATCAGATCAGTGCTTTGGATCAGTCATTATGTTGTATATCAAGTAATAGTGTTGACTTTTCAGTAGCTTTTTAATCTCTTATGCCAGTAAAATGTATGGCGAAAGGTTATGTATTTGATGACATTTGCTGACAGACTTATTCAGAGGTATATTTTGTTATGGAAAAAGCAAGTATAAGCAAATTATAATACTTACACCTTTTGGAAATCTTGATTCTGAAACTTTTTTAGATATTAAACTGCAAAAAAAGAATATTTGCTGTAGTAAGATTAAAAACAAAAGATAGTATATTATATGTAAGTAGAAAGGTGAAGACAATTAAATATTAATATGTGGGAAAGGTGAGCAAAATTATATTTTTTAAAATTATGTATAAGATACTTTGGATATTTAAGAGTTCTTCATTATTCCATATTTTCAGGCTTAAAGGTGTGTTCGTTTCCTCTTCTTGATAAAATGTAAGCGTGCATTTTCAAAGACCAGTAGAAGGCTGATATTTTATTGAGTGCAGTGACTTTATGAGGTAGGAGCTATGACTGCCCATTTCACACCTGAGGAAACTGTTACTTAAAAAGATTAATGAAATTGCCTGATTCAGTGGAGCTGGCAGTTTAACAAATTCAGGCAGTTTCAGAAGTCACACTGTAAACCACTGACTAATTTAATTCTTAAGTTCTCTGTCAGATTTAATGTCTTTGAATTGTTTGTTTATTTAATGCTTTGACCATCTTCTGCTTTCGTGTTTATAAACCTGAATTCAGTCTCTGACGTTTGCATTGTATTACTAGACGACTGGTCGTGCTGTGTGTGTGTGTGTGTGTGTGTGTGTGTGTGTTTTCTCCCTTGTAAAAACTATGCTGTAATATCAGTTAGTGAAGTAGTTTTTGTCACAGTTTAAGTGAAGTTATCAGCCTTCACTTTAAAAAGAGAAAGGGAAAGGAAAAAAGGAGAAAGAAGAAAAGGGAGAGGAGTGGAGAAGCAGAGTTTGCATGTGTGGTGTAATGTTTTTGAGTTGATTACAATTGAAAAACTAAGCATTTGTAAGTAGATAATAAACTTACCTTTATACTCCCAGGAAAATCTAACTGAAGACAGTTAGATACAGAATAAACTAAGCAGAGATTGGAAAACTGTGCTTGCTGCCTGTTTTTATAAGTAAAGTTTTATTGGAACACAGCCACAAGCATTGCTTGTTTGGCCAACAGTATGAAAATATTTCCTGTCTGACCCTTTAAGAAAACTGCTGAACAAATTTTGAGACCAAAACCATTCAGATAAACTGTTTATTGGCTTGGATTGAGTCATTCACCAAATAATTATTGAGCCACCTGTTAGGTGCCAGGCAATGTGCGAGGTGATGGAGAAGCAAAATCAAACATGTCTTACAAAACTATTTGATATTCTTTTTTATTATTAATTATAACAGCAGTTGCAAAAAGCTAATATGAATTATAAGAGCTAGGAAATATTCATAAGGCAGATCTCATTTGTCTGAAGCAGTACAAATGCAGCATCTCTTAGGCAGTGACCATATCAGTTATCTGACACCATGGATAGCACACCTCCTTTTTTCTGGTTCTCCTGATTCCGTCCTATGCTACTGAGTTATTTTTCCTATAGTATTTATTACCATACAGTTAACTTATTTACTATGTCTATTATTGTCTGTGTCCTCTTGCTCCAGTCTAAGCTCCATAAGGGCTAGCATTTTTGTTCTGTTTACAGGTCCAAGTACATGACACACATAGTAAGCAGTTAGTATGAAAGAGACCTGCTTTACATACTCTTCTTATTAGATGTATTAATATATTTAGACAGCATCAGCGTTTTGGTGTTAGCTATAATTTTGTTGATTCAAAATGAAAATAAGTTGCTGAGCTAAATTGTGTATCTTTTGAATTTGTTTTACATGTTCTTTATTGAGAAAACTAGTATTTCCAAATTCTAACCTCTTCACTGTATCACTGTTCATGTAGTTTTTTTCTCAGGAGAGATAGATAAATGTTTACTAAAAGTTATTTAGAGTAGTCGAGTAATATATTTATTGAATAGAAAAATGCACTCTAAGGTTAAAGCTTACGTTAACTTTTCTGATGGCGTTGAGAAGGTAATGTGTTTACATGTTTAATTGCCATTAAAATAATAAGAATAATTTCTCATAAAATTTGTTAGTTTTAGTTATATTTGTGAGTATGTTTCGGTGATAATTGATTATCCTGCCTACATAGTTTGCAAAATTAGTAGGGAGAACAGTATTCTGAAGCCAAGTTTCCATGAGTTGATATTTCACGTTCATGTTTGTGACCCGAACCTGTATTCCTTCAGACATTGAGAAAAGCCAAATGTTCTCATAAGCAGCAAGGATTTTCTTCATGGAAAACTAAGAAGTAAAAATGTAGCCCAAATAAAGTATAATGTGTATATTGAATATTGTAGGTAGATCTATCTATATAAATATGAATAAATGCTGTTATGTATTTCATTGAATGATTTTTTTCTTGGTATAATTTTTAAAATTAAAAAATAAAATAAAAATTGAATTCATGAAGGGAATAAAAAAATCTAGAAATATTTCCACTTTTAGTTGAGCAGGCATGCATCATCTGTAATTCTAATGACCCTGCAAAATAGTATTTCTGTTTACATTTTAGAGATGAGAAAACTGACTTTCAGGGAGATTAATAGCTTGCCATGGTTCAAGAACTAATAAGTAATAAAGGCAATATTGTAAGTCAGGGCTTTCTGTCTCTCTGAATACCTTATTCTTTATCGCTTAGCATATCAATTTCTCATTTATTGTCATGACATGCAACCAGAGGACTGTATTCTATATCAATACTTCATTTAAAAATTTTATGTTTTATAACATTCACATTATACACTTTTAAATTTAAAATTTTCATTTTGTAGTATGCTTCTAAATAACTTGTGAAGAGTACTCTACAAAAGGAAATGGTTTCCTAATGCCAGGGAGTGGTGCATGGAGGGGATAAATGCCTCCTTGTTTGCCATTTACAAGTTAAAACCATTGGTTTCCAATTTTAACCTGATACATATTCTTTCATTTTAACTTTCTCATCCATTAACATATATTAGGCCTTATATAGCCACATATACAGATGCACGTGATCAGCAATATGATTTTCAGAGTTTGTTTTTATTTAAAATATTTAATATTTCAAAAATTTTTAAGTGAAACTATTGTGTATAAAGGCATTACTAAAAGAAATCTTTATTGTATAAATTGACTGCTAAAGAGCCTGGGATGTTACATGATACTTTTTATGGCTGTAATTTAATTTGTTCATATTATTAACTGGGATTACCATGCCGTGTTACCCAAGAAATTGAGATAACTTCATTCTGTAGCCCTTCATATAAAGTTCACTTCTAGTCTTTCGAAATTCAGATTGTCTAAAAATGAATATTTTGCCTCATTTAATGAGTTTTCCTTTTTGAAAGCATTGAGAAATGTATTTTCTTTATGGTGATTTGAGGTTACATGACTTATGAACCTTTGTATTCTGGTTCAGTATAGAATTTGATATTGTCTGGATAGAACAGACACCTAAAATTTCAGATAGCCCTTAGATTTCACATAAGAATGAGAAGGGCTCATTAAACTTTTCATTTGATGGAAGGCTGAGAAACCACAGGACAGTGAAGGAATTAGCATTTCTGATAAAGGTAATATGTTTAAGTCTTACGGTGGCATATGAAAAAGCACTAGTCTTGAAAAATTGGGAAATTTAAGTTTTAATATTATATCTAGTTCTATAACTTTCAAATGACTCCCTACAACTGCCTCTCATTCCTACCTCTTATTCATCACAAATTTAACTTTTCCCCTTTTACAGTAGAGCATAAATCCAGGAAAGAGTGAAACATTAATCATAATAGTGTAGTGAAATTGTTTCGTGTGTATGTAAACATTATTAAATGTTAATTCTTATTATAATTATTATAATGGAGGACTTCATAAATTCTATTTATTAATACCAGAGATTGCTTTAAAGTAGTATCTGTTGAATGAGTATATGAACAAATTTGGAACTTTGAACTCCAAAATTATTCAGATCCTCCTTTTAAGTGGAAGATCTTTCTCCTTGGTTTTGGAAACATTAAAGTTAAAAGATACCTTAATATTGGTATTTAATTGCCAAAGAGAAATTATAGAGTCCTCCTAAAGACAAATGAGGTAAAGAAAAAAAATTGATGAGCTAAATTGTTAATTTTTGTTTGTTTTATCTGTTCTTCAGATCATTGAGATTAAAATTCAGACATGGATGCAGTCCTCCTTTGGGTTTTTGTTAGAGTCCGTTGCATTGGTTTGCTCCATATCAGACAGTAATACTGCCCAAGATGATTCCTGATTTAAGGATGGGATTTTTTATTTTTGTAGTCCATCTTTGTTTATGTATCAGTTAAGTCTTATGAAACTTAAATTCCTCCACTATTGAAATTTCAGTTTTTCCTCCATCAGAGGGAATAGTGGTAATGGAATCATTTTGTCTAAATAGTTGGCTAATAGTATAAAATGTGGAAGGTAGAAACTTAAATACAGAATAATGATTTGTTTCTATTCTTCTTTATCTGATTCCTAAGCATTAACATTTTTTCTTCTGTTTCTGATGTTTTAAAGATCCTTCCAAAAGTGTCCTATGTGCATGAAAACTGTTTAGGTTTTTCCTAAGTGCTTTATTTTCTTGATATTTTCATTTTGTACAATGAATTTGCCATTTACTTTTGATGAAGTTCGTATCTGTATGGTATCTTTAGATTCTTATTTCTTGGATTTAGAAGATAATTTGAATGTTTGATTTTTAAAAGGCTTTTATAGATGGCTTTGGTAGTCAAATTTTGTTTGTAACTAATCTACTGTAATTTAATTATCAGGGACTGGTGGGGGGGTCATCCATGTATTTATATTTCCTGTTTCACATGTTTACAAATATGTGATGATCGTCATTGGCTTTTTTCCCCTAATGTTTTTGAACTTCAAGGAATGAAGGCTCTGTATAAATACTCACCTCTCTGTATGTGCAGTTTCTTGCATTTTCATTGGCTTTAAGTAACCTGCTATACATATAAATGTACGTTTAAAAAGATGGTCCTTCCAAAAAACTTTGCTTGGGGTCTGTGCTGGGAGGATGATTTAGATGGATGGAGAGGATCACTTGCTTTACTGTTTATCATTTTCCCAGACAAATCTATGGAGACAGGCTGCTGATAGGATAGGAGAAAAACAACAAAAACAAATAAGTGCTTTTGTCTGGAACTGAATTGTATTATCTGTACTGTCAGCTAGAGTCTTTGCTCACTTACCCAGACTATCTTTACAGGGATTAAAACTTCCCCCTGCAGTAGTGATAGCCTTTAGTATGCTACAGCCTCATATCCAGTTTTTTAAAAAAAATCTGGCTGTAAACAGTTTTTAACAGCTTGCAAAATCCTCACCAGTTCAACCTTTGGGGAGAGGGATTATGCTGATGAACCAAATAAGAGTATCAGTAATTATATTTCACATCACCTGCATTTCATTTTTAGTTTCCATATATAGCTTCTCACAACCCCCAACTCTGAGCTTGATATGGAACTTTTATATTTTGTCATCTTTGTCAAACTTAAGAAAATCATGGGGATATACAATAATGGATACACTGGCAATTCAAGAGTTATTTTGAGGACATTTCTAATTTTTTAAAGTTATAATAATTTTGACTCTGCATGAAAGGTTAGAGGGAGAGAGTTATAGAAACAAAAAACAAAAAGGAGAAATACGTCAAAAGATTCTATAAACCAAGCAAAAACTATTAGAACTAGTGTCTGTATCAATGTCTGAGATATCTAGGAAGCTGATAAACTGTTGTTGTTTTTTTCCTTTAAAATTGCTAATAATGGGGATTTTACAATCTTCTGTGGAAGTGGTTCTCAACCTAGTGATCTCCATCCTATGCCAGGACATTTGGCAATGTCTGAAGACATTTTTGGTTGTTGCAAGTGCAGTCATGATACTGACATCCAGTAGGTAGAGGCCAGGAATACTGCTGAACATCCCATAATGTACAAGAGAGCTTCCACAGCAAAGTATTATCTATCCCAAAAGTCATTCATGTTGAAGTTGAGAAACCCTGCTCTCAAACATGGATTTTTAATCTTGATAGTTTTTCAAAATGAATAGCCACAGTGATATTTACAGTGTTTTATAGAGAGATTTTATTTTGTTTGTTTGAATTACTAATAAGAGAGAAAGAGAGGCTTTTGATTTTGATCTGGGGGATTTATGGACACAGTAGACACAAACATTCTCTGCAAAGTGTTTATGAAGACAATATGATGACCTGATTATACAGAGAAATGAAAAGCAGTCTTATTCATCATAGAAGGACACGAGGAATTTTATAATTTTTTTTAACTTCACAGATATGAAACTTCTATTTTGTAGGAGAGGGCTTGTATAGAATTTTTTTCTGTGTTGGTGAATTAAACCATCTAATAAAAATAATAAAAATATGTAAAATTAATTATTTTAGCAGATTATTCAGCAGACCAAAGCTCTGAATTCAGTTCTTACATGAGACTGTGGGTAATTTATTTAATGTCTAACCCTCAGTTAACAGATCTGGAAAGTCATGTGGTGGTTTTAAACTTTAAGCTGTCAAATGGATGTTTGCTAATTTATATTGACATTAACTTTTCTCAGATAAATTAGGAGAATTGTCCAACCTTTAATTGATTGCTGCACCTCAGTGTAAGAAGTAGGCATTCCCTTTTTCAGTCCACATATGGAGCTATTGTAACTCCATTCACTTTCATCATCACCTACTCAATCACAATAATCTGCAGTAGAAGGTAGTATATGTAACCACACATATATAAACAAAGACATACCTAGTAACTTAGTAATAGGGAAGTTAGAGACAGACAAAAAGTGCTTACATTGCCTTCCAGAGGAACCTGGCCTGGAATCCCGGACATACCCATAGTAGCCATTGAGGTTAATGGAGCTAGTGCACAGGGTAAAGCATATAGCCTCTAAAGAGATTTACTAATATGGCATCCATTTTGCTAAAATAAAAAAAGACATTGGGGACTAAATGTAAGTTATCTTCTTGGCTCCACAATATTACAAAAAATGCAATCAATTGCCCTTTTTTGTTTTAAAGTTATGTTTTCTGCTATACTTCCCACACCTCCTTAATTAACTGAATTCATGCTATGAAAAAATGCTTTCTGTAAGGGAGGAAATGGTGAAAACATTGCAGCTTGAAGTCACAAATCATAGCAAGTCACTTCACCTTCGTTCATATGTTTAAGAAGTTGTCTCTTTCATGGAGACACACAGGAGATCTGCATTCTGTCACCACCAAAAGTCTTCTTAGAGTTTTGTTGTTTTATTTTGTTTTAATTAAGGGACCTGCTAGAGCTATGAAGTTACTGTAGAGAAAAATTTAGAGAAAAAAATTAGATCTTAACTAGAGGTGAAAAATGCAGTTTGATGATCTCTTTGAGATTGTAATGTATAGAATAAATTGTTTCACTGATAACAGAAAGCAAAGTGATAAATTTCAAGTTATCCTATATTCTGTATATTCTTGTAGTTTTTCATTTTAAAGAATACTTTGTTTAGGTGATATTTTGAATAGGCAATATATGTTACAAGATTCAGAGATCTAAACTGTATAGAAAGATATACATGGTGATAACTTCTTCATCCCAGCCTTGTCTCCCTCACCTCATTTTTGTTAGTCTCTTTCTTCTTCCAATTCGGTTTTTATTGAATACATATACAAGCAAATTTGTATATTTATTGTTTCCAATACCTAGGAGAGCTCTCACAATAAAGTGTTATACAAATATACAAAATGTAGGAAACTATGCATACTGTTCAGTGCTTTGCTTTTTTCCTTAGCCCTGTATTCTGGAAATCTTCCCTTCTCAGTACATGGATATTTTCCTTATCCATTTGTAGGCTGCATGGGTACAGAACCACTTACAAATAGTACCCTACTAATGGACACTTCGACTGTTGCCAGTTTTTTGTCGTAACTAACAGTTACGACAGTGAATAATCTTATCCAAGTGTTATTTTGTACTTGTGCAGGTTTGTTGTAATGTGAGATTGCTGAGTGAAAGGATAAATGCCTTAGTAATTTTGGTAGATTTTGCCTTATTTCTTTCTATAGTAGTTCTACCATTTTGCCTTTTCATTAGGAATTTTGAATGTGTCAGAATTTCCAGGTTGGTACTAGTAGTTAATGGTTAATTTAAAAAGTCAGCCAAATAAAGAATCATTAAAACATATTATACAAAATTTAATGATTTCACTTTAACATAAAACACTTAAATAATCATTAACTTGCTACTCATTTGCTTTAGGAATAACGCTTTTTTTTTTTTAAGCATAGAG